AAAAAAAAAAAAAAAACACAAGAGATGAAATGATGACGTTTCAGCACTGTGTGCTTTGTATTTATTTATTTTTGCTTTGGTTTGATTTTTGCCAGCTATTCGTTTGTTGTGAGCGTCAATATGCATATGAGAAGTGGTCAAGCCCTGCTGAGACATAAATCTTGAATGGGACATTTTTGATCCTGTGCCACAGGTGTTTGTATTATAGCAGCTCAGGCTGGCTTGTTCTGGTACTGAACTGAGAGAGTACAATGTCTGCGTGTGTGTGTGACAGAGAAACATTAAATACATATTATTCCCGTAAATTGTTTTTAAGTAAAAGCAAAGTGAGAGGAGACATGAACGCAGAAGTGAAGTCAATAAATTTTGTTCGCGACTAGGTTACATTGCTGCCTCAAAGGCAGATGTGTCAACTTGCTTTTATCCAATCGAAAAAAAACCCAACATCTCTGTATTTTTTTAAGGGGGATTTTCAACAGATATGTTCATTCAATCAAAACCTTAAACTCATCTTGCTGCCTCCCAACTGATCGAACGATCCTTAGACTCTGCAGCTCAAAATGACTCCTCGCGCTTTGCCACTTTACTGCCTTTTCATTTCAAGCTTTCCGAACAGTAGATTTGTGATAAAGATTCGGTCCACTGTGTGGCGTTGGCGATACCAAAAACAACCGCGCACGGCGCTTTGCTGCATGTGCAAACACTGAACCAAAGAAACGATCGAGCTTGTGCGAGTTCAGTAATTGAAAGCGTCACACTTGCTGATCATTTTCAGCTGGTGTTCATGTTACAACGTGCATGTGAAGAAAATACAGTATGCTCTTCACAGCGGCCATTGGCTCATGTCGTTGCGAAAAACTCATTAGCATGTATGACAGTCCCGTTCCATGGCCCGCATCTGGGACTCACCGGAATCGCCGGTGAACAGGACCATCGTTATTCATGTTAGGTTGCACACGCGTGTCCTCTGCTATGACAACTCCAAATGGCCTCAATGAGGAGCGGCTAGCCACATTCTGACTTGAAACTGTAAATGCTGTCAGCGGCGAACATATGTGAGCGATGTGTTAGACCTGCAATAAATTCTATGAATGATCAAACTGGATCCAGTGTGTCCTGTCTCTTCTTAGCGCCTACAACAAGCGGGACGATAAATAAGAACTTAATAATGCCGTTCTAGCATTTAATGTTTAGTCGATTGAAGCTATTCCGGTAAGGCAGTGGACAACCGATTGCTGGGGGCTGTGAGGTTAACCTCAGTAGTCGTGTCCCACTCGTCTGGCTCTTGACCAATAGTTTGCTCAAGGTGCACAAAATCAAAAGTGGAGCAGGAGCAAGTCAAACATTGGCGCCACTATGAGATCGCTGTTATTGTTGTATGGACGCACACAATCAGACTGCAACAGAAATTTGTGAACAAAAGTAATTTATTATGTACTTGATGTTAACAACACGATTTTAAAACAGTGTAATATTTTACAATTTGTCTCAGACTGATGCGCAAGAAAGGTCCTCAGTCCACCTCCTCGATGGTGGGCCCCTGTGCACCGGCCTGGGTCTGCCCCCCACAGCCTCCGGCAGGCCCCGCCCCCTGATACAACTTGCTGATGATTGGCTGACACGTTCGCTCCAGCTCCTTCTGCTTGTGCTGGAACTCGTCTTTTTCGGCCAGCTGGTTGCTCTCCAGCCACTTGAGGGTCTGCTCACACTTGTCCATCAGCGTCTTCTTGTCCTCCTCACTCAACTTGGCCGCTAGCTTCTC